TTTTGATAAGTGTGTGTCTTAAAATTGTAATGATTATGTCTTGTAGTAGTTATACAATGCCAATTAGGTGAAAGAAGACCTTTAGCTTGAGAATCAATGTAAAAATAAAGATGTAATGTCTTGTTGTCCATTTCTCATATCCTATATGATAGGTTTGGACCCTTGTGTCTTAATGGAAGTTATAGATCTTTTACTTACCTTTTGAACGAGACCAAGATTGCGTCAAACTGATAAGTATGACTCAAGTTATGGGTAAAATACCAAAGAATAGTAAAATCTCCAGAACCGTGACACTTTTGGTACCAAATAGTGGGTTGGCGCTATCAGCGCCAAGTTGGCGCTGACGACGCCGTATGACGCAAAAAATCAGTGTTCTGGCGCTATCAACACGGGTTTGGCGCCATCAACGCAGGACTCTATGCAATTCAGCACCCTTTTCTTCAAAACTTCATAACTTGAGCTACAATGCTTCAAATTGAGCGTGGTTTGAACCCACGCGTATCTAACTAAGAGATATATAACATATTGGGAGATTAGGACCATAAAAGTGGTATAAAATTCTTAAGTACATAAAAAGTGGAGGTATTTAGTGTTAAATATCAATAAAATGAGCTTTTAAGCCTTGTTGGTCTAAAAGGGCTACTTGGCACATTGTGGTAGCAACGTATTGTCTAAATAAAATTTCATTAAGTGTTCCGCACATAGTTTAAATTATGATTACAGTTTTTGAAATTATTTTAATTACAGAATTGATTTTTAACAGAAACGTTTATTAACGAAAAAGGAACAAGTTTATCCGTATCATAATTCAATTACTGTGATTGTAATTGCGCTTAATGCCATACGTAATGTTAACAAACCGATTCTAGAATGGGGTCTTATATCCGCAAAGGCTTCAAAGCCAAGATTGAGGACCCAAGTTCCCAACATTGGTATCAGAACCCAAGTTCGACAGGTTCTGAAGGAGACGAGATGGAAACCAGTGGAATTTCATATGACGGTGACATATTCTAGCTAAATGCAGACAACTTCAAATACTGGAGACCTATAATGGAAGATCATTTTTACTGCAAAGACTTATATGACCCTATCGTCCTTAAAGAGAGGCCTGAAGGCAAAATTGAGAAGGAATGGGAGATCCTCATTCGAAAAGCGATAGCCACGATCAGGAAGTATATCGGTTTCCTTTTTGAGCATGTGTCTGAGTTCACGAATGCATACGAGTTGTTGACAGAGCTAGAGTCCATGATTCAGAAGAAGACTCGTTAACAAAGCACACCTGGTTCGTAGACTTGTGAAGCTCGAATACAAGGATGACATGAATATGATTGAGCACCTTAATATCTATAAAGGTATTGTGAATCAACAGTCCAAAGCCGAGATGAACATTGATGACAAAATACAGGCTTTGTTGTTGTCGAGCTCGTTGCCAGAAAGATGGGATACTCTAGTAGTTACTTTAAGTTACTTAGCTCCTGTTGGAAAGCTGAAGATGGATGCCCCCATTTTTTGACGTGGCATGAAGAAAAAGAAATGAGACCTCGGTCAAAGGAAACCAACCGAGATTTCTGACCCCACACGTTCTGACCCCCATTTGTTGACGTGGCATGACCCTATCCACGTTGGGAGGAAACCAACCACCCGCTTACCTCTTCCACCTCGGTAAATAATTGTCGATTCTGTATAATCCTCACCCCAAAACTAGAACTGAACCCCTTTTGGAAATTTCTTGACTAAATATTTCTCCTAAGGGGGACTCCCCCCATCACTATCTTGGCCAGGGGCCGTACCAGAATTATCACCATGGATACTCATCTGAAAAGTCACTCATTCCCCTCTACAAAGTAAACGATAAAAGGAAAGTCTCCTTAGGAATATCAACCAATAAGGAAGCAGAAAGGGTTTTCAAATACAAAACCCCAGATTACTCAAGACAACCACACGAAGAAAGCAACAACGAAAGAGGAAGATGATGTCTAAGAAGTACCTGTTTGTAAAAAATAATGTTGAAGGCAAAGAACTCTTGGTTGAGCTTTCCCAAAAACCCAGAGAAGAGGTGGAGGACGAAGAACAATGAGCAACTCTCCAAGCAAGAAAGGAAAAAAAAACCCAGAATGCAAAATGAGCAAGGATTGTCCAAAATGAAATCAATGGAGCACATATCCAAACGTATAGCCACTGGATGCGAAAACTGAAAGGCCAGTGGCATAGAAGTAATTCCACGACACACGCATTTAATGAAAGCCATAATGGCCAGCGAAATGAAAGGGCGGCTTGCAGGTCTTGATGCACTATCTCGCAATGAGCGTATGGCACGTGGAATAATGTATTCGCCAAGCAAGTGATGAGAAGACAGAAAGTCTTAATAATATGATGACACTGCAGGCTTTAGCATCAATATAAGCCCGGTGATTCTGTACCAAAAAGGCAGCACCTAAGTGTCTGACATGCACCTCGACTCACTCAAGACACAAGCCTAGGATGAGTCACAAGCCAAATAGGCCGGATTCAAAGAATGGATCCCAGTCGTGCTATAATGCAAGGACAATCATCGACACTTCAGCCACATGGAACGCCAACCTCGGCTAAACTACATCAACTCGGCTTTGAATGGAAGCCTATCAAGCTAATTATCCCGGAAAGGCTAATATGTTCAATGGGCCTCTACATCGCGGCAGTCCGAGTTCTTGAACTGCTGCAATGCTGGGGGGCAACTGTTATGGACTGGATTCATATCTCAACAACTCCACTGGTAAAAGATCAAGGGGCATATCTCAACAAGTTGATCCTTAGGGGATTAAGGGATAAGCTTCCTATCCCAACACCCAAATCAAAACAGTTAACAATCTGGAGGTACTCAAGGCCCAAGCCCAAGAAGGTAAATGTTATAAATAGAGGCTGAAGACCTCAAGTACACACTTTGAACCTAATTTACTTGTAGCATCACTGTGCATAGGGGTGATAAACGAGCCAGGGGCCTTTGGCTCGGCTCGTGAAGGCCTAAGCTTACATGCCTAATATTGGTTGTTGAAACCAGACTTGGACTTGTATAAAAGCTCGTTTAGTAAAAAGGCCTCAGGCTCCAATTCAAAAGCTCGGCCTTGGAGCCTCTCAGGCTGGCCTAGTATATTAATTTTAATTTTAATTTATATTTTTATACTATTTATAATAGCCCTCTCTCCTCTCAATCCATTTCACCACTATTTTATTAGTTAAACATACTTTTTGAATGCTTTTGTTCTATATTATGTTGTTTGGATATACATTGAATTTATGAATATTTATGGAATTACTAGCGTTGTTGATTGTATATTCTGTTTGGATAAATTTTTGTTGTCTTATTCTTTTCTAACAGGCTAAATCAGGCTTTTATTTTTTGTAAATAAAGTAGGTCACAGGCCGATAATTATATTCGTAACAGGTAACAGGCTTGGTAAGACCGACACATTTAAACACAGGCTTAGCCTTTTAAGACCAAAGCTCGGTTTGTCTCGGCCCCTTAAGACCCCTGACTGTGCACACACACCACATCTTGGCTTTTGCCGTATTATACAAGTGCACATTGATCTATATTCACATATGCTATCTCTCACAGAGATATCTGTGAGTATATTGATCCTACATATAATTAACACCCTTTGGGTGTATATTCACGGTTCACCTGAACCGAACATATATTATAAAATTATGTTTAAAAAAATTAAACTACTATAATCACTAATTAATACATTTAAATTTTTTAATGATGGATCAATAGGATATTAAATAATAATATAATAAAAAATTACAATTTATCAAATTCCAATTCTTAATTTATATGCTCATGGCACCCAGACCAACTTTATTTGATGCTAACATTAGATAGACGGTAGAAAGTAAATGAATTAAGTAATTCAAAATTTGACAAGTAGCTCAAGAAAAATATACACTTAAACAAAGTTGATTCTACATTGCACATGGAATATATACTATGTTCTATGGGCTCGATGACGTTGAGGTTTTCAAGTAAATAGTGTGACCTAAAGAATGAATTTAATTTCTTTGTAAACTCTCATTGTGGCCGACCTATATATGAGTATTCTATGACTTTATAAATACATAGTTTCGCAAACAATAATAAATTTTTTGATAATAACATATTTGCCACGTATACACCGCCCAAGGATTTAGAAAAATCTTCAACTATTGATGGCATTTTTTTCTTGTGCAATAGAAGAAAAACCTAGCTAAGTCAATATATATTATTTGTTGCAAATCTTTTGCTATCTACGACTTTTATATGTAAATATAAGTAATTTATAACCTTTCATTGATAGCTAGTTAAATGATATATATTAAAATTTGCATCTAGAAATGGTGGACTTTTCTAGATGCCAGTCATTTTTATGTACGTCTTTAGTATTTTTCTTTAGAGATAAAGATAGGGAATACAATAATTAAAGTTAGCTTGTCACAAAAGTAAGAAAATAAATATAGGAAAGACTATAAATTTCTTGTATACGTTAAAAAGATAGGTAATAAAGCATATTTAAAGAACTTACAATATTTAACTTACACAAGAAGAAACTGCAAAGGCAGACACGCAACCATTTATTCAGTTGTGTAAACGAAACTCTTTCAACATATGCTGATTACTATCATCTTTAACTTTTATTTTAAGAAGGACTATATCCAACCTCATCAATTATACATAGAACTGCTTCAGCATTTGTTTCTATGGTCTTGTTTCATCCTAATTAAAACAAAACTATCTCTCCTAAATCCTAATTCAGCTCTTAATCATTAATTAGTTACAGCCTTGACAAGAAGACACCGACTAATTAATAAGAAGTGAATATAACCTACCTCGGATGCTTGTGTTGATTAGAATTTAGTGCCAATAGCTTAATTAACCAATTTAGCAGCAGCATTAATAGACTTTTATATATATATCAAGTAGAGGATGATTGTCAATAACGTAAAATATATATACACACAAAACCAAAAAAAAAACTGCATGAGTCATATCTTAGAACCTTAGTACCACTATTGTATTTCCACAAAATACATCTTTGGAGAGGGGTGATGAGTTTCAATTGTGACTAAGTCCCAATTCGAGATAAGAGCTATGATCAGCTCAAAGAGTTGAAACTTGTAGAGATATTCAGGGAACCGACTCGCCTCAAAGAGATAAATTGGGTTGGTATTAAGAAAAAAAAAAGCTAGCAGATCATGCAAATGATGATAACATAATGGATTTACAATAAAGTTTTCAGGACAAAATTAAAGGAATCACGCAGTGGTAAGTAACATCATGTTCTTGAATTCCTCAAAATCAAGCCTTCCGTCCAAATTGGTGTCATACAAGAAAATCATGCTTCTACAATCCTTGCAACTTCTTTCATCCCAAAAGCCAAGCCTCTTCAACACAGATTCAAGCTCTTGGCTGGTGATGAATCCATCCCCATCCAAATCAAACACCTCAAATGTTTTGACAAGGTCCTTCTCCAGCTCCTCCTTTGTATCATCACCATCATTATCATCACTGCTCTCACCCTTGATCTCCTTCGATATGGAGTTGTAAAAGAATGAGAACTCATTGAAGTCGAGGCTACTCTTTCCCACGAGAGATTCTAGCTCTTCTAAGCTAAACTGTGAATTACCTATTTTCTGAAGCAGCCAATTGAGCTCTTCAAGGCTCACAAAGCCATCACCATTCATGTCAAGCTTCTTAAAAATTCTCTGCAAGTCAATGGGGGATAGGAGAGACATATTGACAAAGAACATAAAAGGGTATATGAGAATATGATCATAAACTCCTTATTTGTCTCTTCTTATGGTGTTTATTTTAAGTTATCAAACCTCATAACCTCTAAACGCTTATATATACATGCAAAGACATGTTAAGAGGTTTATAGGACATCTCTAACAAACATAAGGGTATATATAAATATATAGGTAGCATGCGTGTATTTTTTGACTTTTAGCAGTTGTCCTTTGAGCACGGGAAAATTACAAAGGAACTTTTGGCACTTGGCATTAATCATGTGGTATGGACAAAGAATGGTCAAAGCCTGAGGCAATTTGCAGGAAGTTTCGTAGCATTTGCTTTGAAAGCAACTTTATTATAAGTTCTAGCAAATTGGACATGTCTTATATTTTATGGTTTTATAAGAGTTATGTTGTAGGAAAAGTGATTGTGTAATGTTATAAAGATTCGTTTTGCGTGCCGTAGTTTTTTTTTTTTTTTTTCAAAAAGTGTGGGCTCACAAAATGATGTGTGTGTAGGAAACTTTGTTGTGTCATGTTAAATGACAAATGCAAACCCCTATATTTTATATCCATGCCGCAAAAATTCTTTGTTTATTATTGAGTTCACTTAACCTAAAGTGAGATGTGAGTTGAGTTGGATCTTGGGTTAAGTCAATCTAAATAAATCCAATCCAACTTCATCAAGTAGGGATTTTTAAAAGTAAACCTGATGAAATGAAACCTCATTTGGGTGAATAGACATGATCATTTTTAAAGTACTTAATGCTAAGTTTTATCATCATATCACATACTAGTATAATTACCAACTGATCTAATTTACCATAATTTTTTAATTTTTTGAAAAATATCTTTCCCGGTAAATTTGATCAAAACTAATCTAATAATTGTCAAATTTAGTCAATTTGGGTTAAGGGGAAAAAAATGATATTCCCTGTTCTAATTGGGCATAATTTTTTAGTGGTAGTTCTGAGGTCGCTTTTAATATGATTTCGTGGTTTGTTAGCGTGAGTGCTGCGTATATCTTTGGGTATAAACTAACAAATGCGCGTGTCGTGCATACCCTTGCGTCTTACCGTGAGGAGCACGTGTCAATGACTAATGGAATCCTCACATGAGAAACGACAAACCGTCATAACAAGTTAATAATATTCAAATTATATCAAATTCAATCTTTTAATTCTAAAAAAGTCTTAACAGATTTTAACTTTTAATTCTAAAGAAAAGTTATATCAATTCTAAGTTATCAAACTGAAGTTTTCAAAAATAAAAGTTAAACAATATTTTAGTACTGATATAAGATTAATTTTAAAATTTCCATAGTTTTAGAAACTTTTTAATAGTTTTTATTTTAACAATTGCTATGTTATTGTTATATTCTGCTGCTATTATTCGAGGTTGTGAATTAACTTATTCAATCACAAGTTAAACGAGCTAGACTAAAAATAATAAATTGAATATTCAATTACCATAAGATAACATATAGGGGCAACTTATTCTTAAATAAAGATTAGAGTTAATTCATTTGCATTCAATAACTCATATAATAAAAATTAGAGTTATTATATATATATATATATATATAGAGAGAGAAAGAGACGGGATCAACTTATGTCATTATAAGAATAATAAATTTTACCTTCAATCTTAACCGTTGATTTTCGTCTATCAAACGATTGTAATTGATTCAGTTATTTTCATTAATTAATTTTTAATTTTTAATAAATTATAACCGTCAGATATACGAAAATCAACGGTTAAGATTGAATGTAAGATTTATTATTCTTATACTGGTGTAAGAAGATCCTGCTCTATATATATAGGGCAGGATCAACTTATAGCGATGTAAGAATAAAAAATCTCACATTAAATCTTATCTAATGTATGTTCCAAAAAAAAAAATCTTATCTAATGTTCCGATTGCATCTAATTGCTAATGTATCTAATAAATTAGAGTCATTAAATATAAATAGAATTAATTGCTATGGTTGAGTTACATTGGTGTAAAATTATGCTCATATTAAAGGAGATTTTTGTATAAATTTAATTTTGGTTTGGTGGGTTAAATTAATAAAAAAAAACTACACATGGTTATTTTATGTTAAATAAGTGAAAATCTTAGCATAAATTTTTGTACGAGATAATTATTTTCTATTAAAAGTAATAGCATGTTAAATTTTTGTTAACTTATTATAAAAAAAAAAAAATTTGTTAACTTAATTTATGCAATTGATGTATAATAAGTTTGGGAAATACATCTCTCGAGTTGTTGGAGAGAAGGTTTTTTTCATACTAACCCATTAAAAAGTGTGCCGTCATTTTTCTATTTTTTTTTTTTTTAAATTTTGGTGAATTCCATTATTTTGATGTCTGAATAAGATAAAAAGTCTTTCCTATTAAAGGATAGACATAAAGCCTAATAAGTTTATACAAAAACAGTCTTGTACCAAAGCAAGAATGAAGAAAATATTTTGTTTTGAACTCTCGGGGGTTCTTTGCTACGTTATTCTTTTCTTTCTTTCTCTTTTTCATGTGTAGCATTTGTTTTTCAGACATCCTTTAAAGTTTTTCATGGGACAAGTCTCTTGCTCTTGCCCTTGCGTGTTTTGCTTGGGACCTTCTTCACCTTAAGCACAGAATTTGCTGCCACCAAACGGGGAATATTCGCAATTGTTTAACGCAAATTTGAATACAGAGGACATTTTTATTACTTAACTAACACCATTCTCAATAACAAATTAATCAGTTAGTGCATGATTTGTTTTCCCGTTGTTAATTGGATTAAGCTTAGTTCTTCAAGACAGTTTGTAAAGTGTGTTAAGTATTTAATTCATTTATTTGTTTTTGGGTTACAACTTACAATAGAAGTCTTGGAGCTGAAAGAGGAATAGGGAATCAGACTTGTCCCTGCAAGTATGAGGGTAAATTGAATAATCATATGATAGGTTTTGGTAGCTAGGGCTCAAACACAAGACTAGTTGAAACCCAAGCTTAATTGAATGTTCAGTTTACAATTTTGATGGCATTATGACGAGAAACGCAATATAAGTTACATGCATATTTCTAATTAAAACTTCAATGATACAAAATTTGACAGCTCATATCAAATTTGAATCGATCACCATAGATACATTTGTATCATTCTTCTAAGCTTATCGAAATTGGTTTGGGTATAGTTATGTTTTTGTATTTAAGAAATTTCCATTTCATTTAGAATAATGGACTTTACTATCTTTAGCCATAACATAAAATAAAAATAAAATAGTGTGAAAACTTCCTTTCAGCTATATCTCGAGAGAAGGCAACGCATGCAAATTGGTTAGCCGTTTCAGAGAAGCACTAGATGCTTCATATTTCAAAACAATAATGTGTTTTAGAACTAAAAAGATAACCGAGATAAATATGCTGTATTAAATGTCCTTAGTACTTTTTGTCCCTTAGAAGCAACAAAATTCGAAAAAGATAGAGTGAAATCAAGTACATATGATGCGTAAAGCAATCAGCATGACCGTTTCTTTCATCCAACACATTATTAAATACAAGTCTCACCTCTTCTTTATTATAGAAGTCTTTCATCCAACACACGAAGGAACTGCTTAAATTTCAACCACAACAATACATTTGGGCTCAGGTTCTTTACACCTTGCACACCGGAATGCAAAAATAATTTACCTAATCGAAGTGGGGCAAAACTTATGAACAAAATAATACAGTTACCACTTACCCCCACTCACCTAAAAAGGGAAAAAGAAAGTGCGAGAAACTCTGCAAAACTTTTAATGTCACTGCTTAGAAAATGTTATTACTAGAAAGGCAATCCCAAACCCAGTTTATAACGACCCGTTACAAAGAGTGTAAAGAATAAGGAATGAAGCATGAGAGCTCAAACTTATTTGCACAGATGATGTTCAAGCCTCGAAGGAAAATCTGCCAGGCTCAGTGTATTTCTTTTCCAGCTGTTCAACTTTGTTAAATTTAAAACCCCTGATTCTCAATACCTCAAGCTCCGAGGCATCTTTGTAGTCGACAGTTTCAAGGGTCCAACCCTTATTTTGAACTGAACCACCCACGTTTACCTATTTAAAATATTTTATAAAAATATTCCAGCATTAATTAAAGACACTCAACAACCACAAGCATGATTTCACAGTAAATAGGGTAAGTTTCAAGCTTTAATTACTTTTTAAAGAAATAATGACGGGATATGGTTATAAGAATAATTAAAAATAAGATTGGAATATCCATAGCATGGAATTATTAGTAAGGACTTTAGTATTTAGGATCTTTAAAAATAAAATCTGTTTGAATTGGTATAACTTGGCTATTTAGTTGGGTATTTATTTGGAAAAGTTAGGTTCCAATATTTTATGGAATAATATGTACTTGAGTTGTCAATCTATGTTATGGTGTTGAAAATTAAAATTATATCTCCCCTTATTATTTTCAGGGTAATGCTATATGTACACCTCAGTCTTGTCAACTATTGTTAGAATTGTTTTCGACTAATCAACAAAAGTTATCAACTATTGTTAAAATTGAATTTGACTATTCAACTACAGTTATCATCCAAACCAGTATCGGCAATTAGGGCAAAAACCATTACAGGGTTTGCATGATAACTATTCAGAATAGTTGATAACATTGTGGTGTTGTGGGAGGTATAGAAAATGAGGTGTACACTCTACTGTTCTGCCTGTCCTACATCAAATAATAATTATTCCTCCCATATGCAACTAAGGAAAAACTCGAGAATAAAATACGGAAAAATAGTCTTGCCATACCTCTGCATCATCAACAGCATCAATGATAAGAGCCCCATCTAAGGACAGATTTTCAAAAATAATTTTTTGACCGTTAATTGCCAGTGTAGACCTCTGGGAAATGGAGCAATTTCCACTGACTTTGCTCTTGATCAGAGAAAAAGTGAGACCCCATTTTGGCTTCCATGTGACACGGGGCCAAACTTCAACCTCTTGCTCATTGAAAACTTGCAGTACAGGATCTGCTACTTGGACACCAGCCTGGCAAGGAAAAAATGCAGAGAAAATTGATTACAATCTGAATTCATAGCAATTGGAATCTAGGCAGTCAGATCAAAAGTACAAAAAGTGATAAGAGAAGGGGCTAG